TTGATGTTAGCTCATTCAAACTCTCACGCCGCATCGTCGCATTCTGTGTTGCTTTGCTTTTGCACGTATTGCTTATTATGTGCACCCCTCGCGCGGGCGCGAAGGGCTGGAGACGCCGACGACGACATCATGTCGTCGCCGGCGCCTCTCTCGGCCTCGCCGTCGCCGGCGTCGCCTCGCGTCGCCGTCTCTGTGTTCCCAGATGTCTTTCCGTTGTGGACAAATCTCACTTGCACTTCCCCTTCCCTCCCTCCTTGCCCTCCTCCGTAGTCGTATGCAGCAGCTTGCTTGGGCACGTCCTTGCAATTCAGTCCATAATTTCCCAGAATTGGCTATCGACTGGCCGTCGGCCATTCCCGCCACCGTGCCTGGGGTGTGGTATGAAGCCTATTGGATGTTCGTTGGGATCTCGTGCGAGGCCTCTTGGGGGCCTCTTTGAGGCAGTTTGGAGGCCTCTTGGGGGCCTTTGGGGGGCCTCGTGGGGCCTCTTCTGGGCCTCTTGAGGACTTCTTGGGGCCTCCCGGCCCCCTCTTGGGGCCTCCTGGGCGCCTCTTGGGACGGAAGGGTTGGATTTTCGATTCTCCCTCCCTCTCTTGGGCCCTTTTGGGGGCCGTCTGGAGGAGGGCCCTGTTGGAGACCTCTTGAGCCGTTTTGGGGTGGTCTCTCTCCCACGAGCGGGTGGAGGGCTGGCTCCGGTGGGACGGGAGGGACACCCGCCATGGCCCCTGCCGACTAAGCAACAACGCGGCAGCCTGCCCCAGCCCCCCCCCCGACGATCCTTACGGCTCCCCCCCGACGACCACCCTTAGCTTGACGCTGCTGGGACATGTGCATCTCATTCGGCGAGGACCCTCGACCGCATCTTGGGCCATCGTGCGAAAAATACGCGCACGAAGCCGACAAATGCACGGGGAATGGACGTCCGAGCGATGGCGAGAGGACTGCCCACCCCCCAGCGGCCCACCCCAGCCCCACGAACCCGTCGCCCCGCCCTTGTCTTCCGATCCCTCCCCCCCCGAGGCTCCATGCAGTGCGTGCTGATCCGGGCCCTGGGCGCCGAGCGCCGCGCTGGGGAGGCCGTGGAGGTGCGCGCAGGGGCGAGGGGGCCGGGAGGGGGGCGGTCTCTTGCCTGCTCCTCCACCTCCTCCCTCCTCCCTCCTCCTCCTTTCCTGTCTCTCTCCTCCTCCTCCTCCTCCTCCTCCTCCTCCTCCTCCTCCTCCTCCTCCTCCTCCTCCTCCTCCTCCTTCCGTAGCCATTTGGGCTCAAGGCTGTGGCTGGTCTGCTAACCGCACTGTCTGTTACGGTACTTCCTGAATTCTGAATTTTCAGGCTTTTCTTTTCCTGCGCATGTCTGGGTCTGCGGACCATGTGGCGCAGAAGGTCGCCTTTGCTGCAGTGCTCGAGGCCATCATTGCAGTTCCTATGCGGCGTGCTCTACAGGAACATCTCCTTCGGCAAGCTGTTGCCACCGCTTCGACGGTTGCGATGGGCGGAGGTGGTGTCCTGATGAAGGGCAAGAAGGCTCCTGGCAGTACCGATGCGGTACTTTCCGAATTCGAGGCCGTGCTGCAGGGTGCAGGCGAGGCCTTGGGCCTCGAGCGCAAAGCGACTTCTGAAGACGTTCGACATGCGCTCCGGGCCATCGGTGAGGAGTCTCTGGCCAAGGATTGGGCTGGCTTCAGGGCTGGCCGCAGAGCCTTGGCCCACCCCAAGCCAGGTCTGACCAATAGCGTCATGTCCAAGCTTGTGCGAGGACATGCTAACTCGCACTCGGAGTCTGACACCACGGCTGAGGCGCCTTTGACCCAGGCGCCAGAAGCCAGCACCGACGACTTTTCGGACTTCGGCGAGAAGGTCAGCAAGCTAGAGCGCGTATGTGAGCAGCTCCTGAAGCACCATTCGGACAACGAGGCCGTTCACGCCAAGCTCGTGGCAAAGTATGCCCTCGTCGACTACTGCTACAACATGCGCAACACCATGCAGGATTTGAAGCTGCAGGACAAGTTCGAGGCGAATGACTTGGACGCAATCGGGAAGGCGGTGCAGGATACCCTTCAATGGTCCGACAAGCCCCTGGTGGCCGACGCTGCCGAGTTCGAGGGCAAGCGAAGGGAGCTGGAGGGCATCGTCAACCCCATCATGATAAAGGCAGTCGAGAGCTGCTGCTACAACATGCGCGGCACCCTGCAGGACCTGAAGCTGCAGGACAAGTTCGAGTCACGTGACTTGGACAACATTGAGGAGGCGGTGAACGACACCCTCCACTGGCTCCACCTGCCCCAGGCCGCTAACGTGGCCGCGCTCGTGGGCAAGCACAGGGAGCTGGAGGGCATCGCCAACCCCATCTTTGACAAGGTGCGGAAGGCGCAGACCAAGCAGAAGGAGCTGGAAGGCATCGCCAACCCTGTGGCGGTACATGTGTCCCAGACCTCGGGCTGCGCCGATACCTCGGCCAGTGTGGTGGTGGCGCAGGCTGGCGCTGTGTCCGATCCCGATGCGGACGAGAGGCGCGAGTGCATGGACATCATCTCCAACAGCTGGCTTGCACCCAGGTGTGAGGCGACGCGAGCCACTCTGCTCGAAAAAGACATCCATGAGCTGCGGAACATCGCGTATACTTCTCAGAACAAGCCGTTCTGAGCTCGTGGCGCACGTTCCTGGTTGCTGGATTCGCCTCGGAATGTTGTGTGGCCCGCCTGGGCCCCTTGGGGCCCTGGCTTGCCGTCGGTCCCGCTCCTGGGGTTCGGGGCTTCGGTTGGGCCGTCCCCGCGGGGGTGGGGCGTGCACCGTCTGTAACCCTGTAGGTTGCGGAAGTGGCACGCTCCTGTCGGTGCCCTGTCTTGGGTCCTCGTCGCCGTGTGCTGGGCCGCGAGGCTGCCGACGTTGGAGGCGTCGATACGTTTCCTCCATGTGGCCCCACACTAGAGTTGGGATGCCATTTTCCATAGCCGTGGAGCCGCCTCGCTGGCTGCTCTATTCTGGCGGAGGGGTAGGAGTCTCCTCCCATCCCTCTGCTGTCTCCCTTTCGCTGGCCTCAGCTATCGACTCGACTGCTGCTGCGCCACTCGCTCGCTCGCTCCCTCCTCCTCCTCCTCCTCCTCCCCCTCCTCCTCCTCCTCCTCCTCCTCCTCCTCCTCCTCCTCCTCCTCCTCCTCCTCCTCCTCCTCCTCCTCCTCCTCCTCCATTCCTTTTCCTTATAAGTAACTTCTCCCAGTCGCACCCCGAGGCCAGTTTTTTGGGCGGGCCGGGCGTTTCGCATGAGTCTTCCTCACCATTTTTATTTCTAAAGCTAAAAAAGTTGCCACGGACTCATAGATGGAGGGCGGGTGGTTTTCAAAATGTGGCTTTCGCCTCAGCGCCGCGCAAATTCGTTGAAAGCTATTGAACGAGTTTCACGGGTTGAGGGCGGGTGGTCATCCCCGTCCTGCTTCCACTCCTCCCGCGCCCCCCAGGGCCGATTCCGATTCCGATCCGATCGATCCGATTCGATGACGGTTCTGGCAGGCCCGCTTCGATTCGATTCCGATGTTCCAGCGACCCGATGCTGCCCGACACTTGCGCGGGCGCCGTTCTGCATCCTGGCGCCGCCGATTCGATTCCGGCTCCGGCCCGATGCGGTGCGATTCGGTACACGTTTCGATTCGATCACGTTCTTCAAGTCGATGCTGATTGATCTTGCCCCACTCTCTCCTCATCTTGTGTTCCTGCCTCTGCCACTCCCGCTCCCTGGCTTCTGCCCCTCCTTCTCCCTCCTGGCCGTTGTGTGACGCCCCGAGAAAAACTGGGGGATCGCACAAGTTGCTAGTGCTGTGCCTACTGCGGCGCGCCGTGGTGTGCCGACATCGCTGGCTTGGGAACGTCATGTGGAAAGTCTCCGTCCTCCTTCTCTTCCTCCTCCTCCCCCTCCTCTTCCCCCTCTGATTCATCCTGCATGCTGCCCCCCGTCACTTCCTTGCCGCCTGGTTATCACAGGCTTGTGGCGGCAGAGAAGGAGTATCAAGGTGGCGCGAGGCCATGAGCAAGCCAGACGCGTTCGCCTTTGGTGCCGCTGAGCTACCTTTGGGTTCCCTCGGGCCGTTTTAGGGTTCTCTGGGGCCGTCTTGTCGGAGACCGTCTTGGGCGCCTACCTGGACCGCCTTTTGGGACCTATGGGATTGTCTTGGGGCCGTCTCGGGGCCATCTTCGGCTGTCCTGGGACCGCGTTGGGGGCCTTTTGGCTCTCGAGCCATCTTGAGGCAATCGTTGGTGGGAAAAGGCGAGCACGCGGAGACAATTGAAAAACTTCATGGGATTCAACGAATTCTGGCCTCCTGGGAGCCTCCTGGAAGTAATCTTGGAGCCCTCTTGGGGCGTTTTGGGAGCTGTATTGAGGCCGTCTTGAAGGCATCGCAGGGCTGCCTTTGGCCAGTCTGGCCGTCTTGGCGGCGTCTTGGATCTTGGAAGCTGTCCTGGCGCCATCTTGGTCGGAATGCTCCTGACAGGATGTTTTCATTTCCGCGGGGCCAGTGGGACTGACCGAAACCCACAGGGAACCTTTTGGAGAGTCCAAACAGAGCTATAACGCTCTGCACGCCAAGGACCTTTCCGGCAAGCTACGGGGGCGGCGGATATCTACCGGCGTTCGGCCCATCAGAGATCGGGTCGTGGGCGAGAGGCTTCTTAGAGGCCCATTGGCGTCTCGTGGGAGGGCTCTTGGGGGACCTCTTGGATGCCTCTTGCTGGTCTCTTTGGGGTCTGGTTCGACAGCAGCAGCTCAAGCAAGCCGGCAAATGCGAGGTCAGCGCAGAGCACGTAGTGCTTTGCGGAATCGGCCCAGCGCGTGGAGCGCGGTGCCCCTAACTGCTTAGAAGTTCCGTCGTGTGCGGCCTGGTGCCCAGCGCATTTGTTGACGTCACAGGTGACAACTTGCCCTCGACGCGCGGCGTCGCGGGACGGATGGCGGAGGGAAGGTCTTCAACGCGTGCACCGAGAAGCCCGCCTGCCTCCGCAACACCATCCTGGACGCCACGGGCTGTCCTTCCTGCACGGGTGCGGGGCAATCACAGTGGTACCAACCAATACGCAGGTTACCCGTCCCCCCCCATCCATCCCTCCGCTTCCTCCGTCCAGCGGAGGAGGAGGAGGAGGAGGAGGAGGAGGAGGAGGAGGAGGAGGAGGAGGAGGAGGAGGAGGCAGGAGGAGGAGGAGGAGGAGGAGGAGGAGGAGGAGGAGGAGAGGAGGAGGAGGAGGAGGAGGAGGAGGAGGAGGAGGAGGAGGAGGAGGAGGAGGAGGAGGAGGTTGGAGGAGGAGGAGGAGGGGAGGAGGAGGAGGAGGAGGAGGAGGAGGAGGAGGAGGAGGAGGAGGAGGAGGAGGAGGAGGAGGAGGAGGAGGAGGGGAGGAGGAGGAGGAGGAGGAGGAGGAGGAGGGGGAGGGGGAGGAGGAGGAGGAGGAGGAGGAGGAGGAGGAGGAGGAGGAGGAGGAGGAGGAGAGGAGGAGGAGGAGAAGGAGGAGGAGTCTCCCGCCAGGTCTCTGGAGGCCCCCAGAGGTCCCCGGGTGTCCCCGGATGTCTCCGGGGGCCTCCACAGCCGTCTCACCATGCTTGCCGTGGTGGGCCACAAACGTCGGGGGTTCCCAAACGGGGTGGTGACCACACCGTGCGGTGAGTCGGTGGGGATTCGGGGTCACCGCACGGTTTTGGGACTCGGGTCGTTCTCCGAGGACGTCTCGGGCGACTTGGGCAACCGAGGTCCCAAGACGGTGCGGTGACGGACCGTGCGGTGAGGTCTTGGGGAATTTCAAGGTCGCCACACGGTCTGTCACCGCACCGTTTCGGGACTCCAACAAACAGTGGGTCGTTGCATTCTCGGCTTGCAGCCTTTGTGGTGCTGTGTGTCTGTTTATTTTGTGAGCAATTCACCTTGCAAACATTCCATGCTGGCCCACCCACCCGCCCCACCCACGTACGGCAGGGACGATGTCGACGATGAGATGGTGATGGTGATGGTGATGCTGATGCTGATGGTGATGAAGCTGATGGTAATGATGATAGTGGTGGTGGTGATGATGCTGCTGATGATGACGATGATGATTATGGTGGTGGTGGTGGTGGTGGTTGCGGTGCCAATGCGGACGCTGGCGACGATGACCAAGGTGTTGAGGGGGATGATGCAGAAGCGCGCGCGCAGAAATGCAGCATGTCTGACGTAAGTGTGGTTGCGCAGCTCTTTGATTGCTAGATCGTTCTGAACATCTCTGTGTGGAAGTGCTTACAGGATCCGGACGTGCGCGCGCGGAGGCGCGCGTGCGGCCCCCAAAATTGCATTCTTCGGTGGAGTTGGCGGGCGCGCGATGGCTGTTGAGTGATGTCGACGGGGTCCGCATGCTTTCACTGTCAGAACGATCTGGACGAGCGCGCACAGAAACTCAGAGCCTCTTGCGTTGCTTCTATTGCATACGCCCTGGGTGTTCGTATGCTTGTGAAGAGCTGTGTCTGGAAATGCTTCGAGTGACCACGGGTTTTATACGGACGTCGACACGTGCGCGCGCAGAGACGCGAGCGTGTGGCTGCATGGTAATATTTGAGCTGTTGCGCGATGACCCGAGAATGTTTTCGATATGCGCGCGCGTGGTCCGGGTGGCCTCGTTCGACAGAGTGGCCAAACACCCATGACATTCTTTCTGGTTGCGTGGAATGTTGATGGAAAGAGGGGCCGCGCTGCGGGTCTTGGGGAGGCTGGGCACCATCTGCAGCACGGCAGTTTCATCCACAGTTGGGCAGCACAGGGGCTGGGCGACGGCCGACGTTGGGCCGGGCGCCACGGCGAGACCGCCGCCGGGGCAGCACAGCTGCCTGCCAGGCTCGCCACAGGCTCGGACGTGGTCGTCTGCCGGGCACGGAGCGCGGTGCTGCCTGCCCGCGTCGAGGCGGGCGGCCCCGGGCTCCCCGGGCTGGCCTGCAGCTGCAGGCCTCAGAGCTGTGTCCACCCGGCTGCAGTTCTGCGCACCGCTGCTGCGGAGTTGGTTCGTCGAAGGCCCGTCGTTTGCAGCTGGCCGTGCCTTCACGCCTGCAGCTGCAGTTGGTCGTCCCCGCAGCGTTTCACTGGAACGCCCGAGCAGCCTGCGCAGGCAAGAGCTGGTGGTGACTTCGTTTAGGCTCGGAGGTTGGTAGACCTCCCACCCTGACGCGTCGATCAAGGAATTGGCCGTTTTCGGTTCGCGAGAGGGCGTCGCGACCGTCATTTTTGCATGTCCAGGTCCGTCGGTTTCGGTCCTAGGCCGTTTTCGTTAAGGGGAGGTTTGCTAAAGGGAGCTTTGTCCACCGCCGATAAGCCCTAAGTCGAAGCAAACGCGACCTCCCCCGCAGGGAGGAGGACTCTCGCAGGCAGAGAAGCGCAAGGTCTCGTGGGGACACGGGCCCCGCGCCTGGGGAGGAGAAGGAGGGGAAGCATTGCTCGGGTTGATCCGAAAGGGGGTCCAGCGACAAGGGAGTGGTGCAATATATTTAGTGCAATATATGTGTGGGGTTGCTATACATTTGGGGCGTGCAATAGACGATTGGGGCGCTGATGTATTGCTGGTTTCGCGTGCAATGCATTACTTGCAATACAATGCAGTATAATTCTCCTGCAGTGCATTTGCAATGCGATTGCCCCAAATCTATTGCACCACCCTTTCAGCTGGACCCCCTTTTGGGCCACCCAGGATTGCATGGTGCACAGGATCAGCAGGAAAAGGGGGGGTGACGGAGGATGGAGAGTGAGAAGTTTCAGGCAGTGGCGAGGCGTTCTGCCTGGTCTGCGGGCTCACCAAATCATGTTTCAGGAACTTTTTGTGATCTTCACGCAATGCTCTTAACACATTGCTGGCTGAGACAGTCGTGTTGTAGCGCATCGGCTTTATGTTCTAAGAACGTTGTGTTTTCTGTTTTAAGAATATGTGGTGGTAGGCCTATATGAATGCCGAGGCGGCCAGTCCCTGCTCAAACAAGATCTTGAACCGAGTGCACCTTGTCCGTCAGAATCGCTATCTCTCAGCCTCATTTGGTTCCCCTACTTTATCGGCTGCAGACCCAGACCACCGAGGACTCAGTACGTTCGAGTCGCCAGCCTCTGGAGCTCTTGACCCCTTTCCCAAAACAATTGTCTTCATTGTGAGCCTTCCCGGGCCCGAAAGTTCCCCTAAGATGTAGAAACTTGCGTTTCAGAGCGGTTCGGTCGAGCCGCGAGAGGTCGTGGGATGCGTCTTCTCCGAGGCGGGGACATCTCTCCATACCGCCGCCCGGGTGATCGATCCTCGGGAGCTTCGGCGGGCGGTGGATTGGGGTTTTCAGGAGGCTTCCGCCACTCCGCCGATCCTCCAGAAGGGAGAGCTGGCGCGATTGCGGAACACATCCTGATCCCTCGGGCCGGAAAGCATGACCCGTGAAGCGGCCGTCATGGGGCGGAGTATGGAGTCATTGTGGGCCCTCTTCGGCGCCTACTGGCGCTCTCGGTGGTCCTCTCGGGGCAGAGGGTGACTGTTCAAGGATGAGGCGTTTTGGGGCTTCATGGAGGCATTTTGACTGCGTCTGGGTGCGTCTTTTGGGCCTGTGTGGGCTTTCTTGGCGCCTCCAGGGGTGTTCTGGGCCTCTATTTGGGATCCGTTGGGGTCCTGTTAGGCCGTCTTGTGCGCCTGTTGGGCGGTCTTGAGGCTCGCCTGGGCGGTTTGGGGGCCCTCTGGCGGGCTTGCCAGGTCGTTTTGGATAGATTTTGCGGGCAGTTTAAGCCGTCTTGGACGCTGCGAAGACGAAGAATGCAAATGTGCTGAAGATGTAGGCCTGCTGGAGGAATTTGGACGGTTTTGCCTTTGGTCTTCGACGCCTATTGTGCCATCTTGAGGCGATCGTGGGTATCTTTGAAGCTTCCCCGGCGTGTTGAAGCTAGTTTGAGCATACTTCGGTGGAATATCTGGCATCTTGGACGCCACGGAGTCAGGAATTGGAGGCCTTGGGAGGCCCCATGAGTTCGTTGACGAGCTCGTCCCCTCCGGGCGGTAATGAGCCCTCAAACGCGATTTAGGATTTTGGGGGAGGGGAAAAAGGATAATAAGACCGATCGCAACCACTTCGGACCGTTCAGAAACCACTTTGGACCAATTACAACCACTGGAAACGGACTGATCGCAACGTGTAGGATTCCTGTTGTAATTCCACATGGCGAACACCGGATTGCAACCAGGAGAGTTTGTTTTAGCTCCCCTGAGCTTGAAGGATTCACGAAGGATCCCTGATGGATGCCTGTAGGGTTCCTGAAGGATCCTTGAAGGATCCCTGAAGGACTCGTGAAGGATTCCTGAAGGATCCGTCAAGGATCCCTGAAGGATTCCCGAAGGAATTCCTGAAAGGTTTTTGAAGGATCCCTAAATGATCTCTGAAGGATTCGGGAAGAATTCTTGAGGATGCCTGAAGGGTTCTTGGAGCATCTTTGACGGATCTCCGAATGATGCTTGAAGGATTCTTCAGGATTTCAAGAGGATTCTTGGAGGATCCCTCTGAAGGCTTCTCGAAGAATTCCTGAAGGATTCCTGAAGGTTACTTAGAGGATTCCCGACGGATTATTGGAGGATTCCTGAAGGATTCTTGGAGGATTCCTCAAGGATTCCTAAATGATTCCTGAAGCATTCCTGAAGGATTCTTGGAGGATCCCTGAAGCATTCCTGAAGGATTTCTGGGATACCAATTAGGGTCTCGTGGGAAGCCTTCAGAAGGCCTCTTCGGGAGGTAGTTATGAGGCCTGCTGGTGGGGCTCTTGTGGGCCTCTCGGGGCCGTCTTGTTGCCTCCTCGAGGCATTTGCGGAGCCCGTTGGTTGTCTCGGGGATCCTCTTGAGCACTTCGCCTGCTAGGCCGTCTTGGGGCCCCCACTGAGTCATCTTGCGGCCACCTTCGGGGCCTCTTGGGCCGTCTTGCGGCGATCAGGGGGGGCATCTGCGCCGTCCAGAACGCTGTAGGGCCGATAAAGCGAACATGCTACGCATGATCGTTTG